CAGGGTCACCCAGAGCAGGCTGCACAGGACCGCGTTCAGGCGGGTCTTGAATATCTCCAGAGAAGGAGACTCCACAACCTCCCTGGGCAGCCTGGTCCATGGCTCCTTCACCCTTAGAGGGAAGAAGTTCTTCCTCGGATCCACATGGAACTTCCTCTGCTTCAGTTTGTGCCCATTGCCCCTTGTCCTGTCACTGGGCACCACTGGAAAGAGTCTGGCCCCGTCCTCCTGACACCCACTCTGCAGATATTTAGAAGCATTTCTAAGGTCCCCTCTCAGCCTTCTCTTCTCCAGGCTAAACAAGCCCAGCTCCCTCAGCCTCTCCTCATAGGAGAGATGCTCCAGTCCCCTCATCATCCTCGTAGCCCTCCGCTGGAGTCTCTCCAGTAGCTCCTCATCTTTCTTGAACTGGGGATCCCAGAACTGGACACAGTACTGCAGATGGGGCCTCACCAGGGCAGAGTAGAGGGGGAGGAGATCCCCTCTCGACCTGCTGGCCACACTCTTCTTAATGCACCCCAGGATCCCATTGGCCTTCGTGGCAACCAGGGCACACTGCTGGCTCCTACTGCTCAATACTTACTGAAAATATTTCTAGGAAACTCACAAGCATAGAAACTTAGCTTGAGTGCAAAACATCCTGATTAATATGGGGATACATATCTTGCTCATTCGCACTGATAAACTAAATAGTTGTGTCATACAGCAGTGAATTAAAATTAATTTCCTTCTGCTCCTATGACTAGGGGCATGATTCTGATAATGATGCATGATAGTATTGTGAAGCAGTGTAACATAAAAATAGTTGGATTTGCTGAAGAAGATTTGAACTAGGGAGTGTTGCATCATTCTCAAAGCGACCGAAGCACACACAGACACTGCTTGTCATGAGTACGATGCCAAAACCAGAAGCAGGAGATGATCTGGTCATGCTTCCTGCAGAGCAAAGATACTCTAAAGCAAAAGCAACCTGGGGCAGGAACGACAGGGGGTCAGCTGCTCTATAGACAAAGGGAACGCAACTGCTGATGTTGACAAACCCACACACGGCAGGGACATTAGGGATCCAAGTTATGAAGTCTATAGGCACCGCAGCTTGGCTTTGACATGGAAACCAGTGGCACAACGGAAGGATGACTAACTTGGAGAAGCTGAAGAGAACAATGATGAATAAAACAGGACAAGTGTGTGACTCCGTGTGTGTGGATACACACAAGGGTGTTAGGGAAAGGGGCCATAGGATTGTTCTTCCAGGTAGCAAGCTGCTCAGTCTGCCTGAGATGGCAGTTTTCCTTTTTCTTGCTCCATTGTAAAAGAAAAATCAAATGGTTTAAAACACCACTAATGCCACCTTATTATAGTAAATCACAGAATCACAGAATGCTAGAGGTTGGAAGGGACCTCTGGGGGTCATCTAGTCCAACCCCCCTGCCAAAGCAGGGTCACCCAGAGCAGGCTGCACAGGACCTTGTCCAGGCAGGTCTTGAGTATCTCCAGAGAAGGAGACTCCATAGACCCTCTGAGCAACCTGTTCCATGGCTCCATCGCCCTCAGAGTGAAGAAGTTCTTCCTCATGTTCAGCTGGAACTTCCCATGCTTCAGTTTGTGCCTGTTGCCCCTTGTCCTGTTGCTGGGCACCACTGAAAAGAGTCTGACCCCGTCCTCCTGACACCCACCCTGCAGATATTTAGAGGCATTTCTAAGGTCCCCTCTCAGCCTTCTCTTCTCCAGGCTGAACAAGCCCAGCTCCCTCAGCCTTTCCTCGTAGGAGAGATGCTCCAGTCCCCTCACCATCCTCGTAGCCCTCCGCTGGACTCTCTCCAGTAGCTCCTCATCTTTCTGGAACTGGGGAGCCCAGAACTGGACACAGTACCTCAGATGGGGCCTCACCGGGGCAGAGTACAGGGGGAGGAGAACATAATGTAGACATTCTAGGGTACAAGTGTCAGTGATTTGAATGCTGCAGTCTCTGGGGTTTTTTCGCTGTAGTCAAGAAGCACCATAAGCCTGTAAGCAGACTATGAAAAAAACACTGACAAATTTTACTCACAGCTTAATGTGCCAGCTCCTAAATAACGGCTTCACATCCCAGTCAGATATACAGTACGAGAAGGTTGTTCTTTAACTCCTTTGTTAAACTATCTCATTTCGCTTTGCTGCTGTGGAGCATGTAATAACTCATAGCTTATGTGCTATCTTTGACCTAGAAACACTGGCAGCTGTTAGGGGAATCGCTGGGTTTTTGGAAAGTATCAAAAGGTTTTTAGCACATAAACCAAATCTATGAACAGATATTGCCCTGGAGAATAGAATTGTTTATGTTTTAGTATCACAGCTGTCACTGGTGCACAGTTATTTCGTCCTGTATTAATCTCCTGAAAAGGTTGAGCATCTTCACTCAGCCACTGAAATATTTCATAATTGACAGACTTCATCTGGCACTGAATATGTATAATAATTTTCCCCATAAGGAGCATACTGCGCTGACACTAATCTGTTCTGTTGTCATCTCCCTTTATTATCAACGTCTGCATTGTTTTCTCAGCAGCACTGAAGAACACAAATACGCAGCTTCTAATTGAAAAAGCTAAGTAATCAAAAAGCCAATTAATCATACAGATGAGCTCTGACACTCCATGATGCAACAGACAGAAATGCCACACACGCATAACTGAAGTATTTTTAAAGTGTGCTTATTTGATGTAAGAATGATCTGAGAATGTAATTAGCGTTCTTTGTCACAGGTGACAGACTCGTAGGGCGCATTTCTTCATACTGACAGTACTTCTCTGAGCTCCACTTGCTCCGCTCCCACCTTGCCTCCCATTCTGACCTCTCCTCTGCTGAACAGCCCATACTCCAACTTTGTGCACCTTTCAGGGAAACCAGCACAAGTTTAGGAACAAATAAGCAGCCTACTCTTGTGCTCTGCCATTTCCAGAGCTTGAGGCTTTGCCAGACGTTCCTTTTTTTCTTAAACCTCTATTTCCATCCCAACGCTCAAAAATCACCAATTCTGAAAACCACGAATGACCTTAATAACGGTTGCAGGCACCAGCCTCCGTGAAGAAGGATTGCAGCAGACACAACCTCTCAGCTTTTGCAGGTTTTCATTCTGTAATCTCCACATCTCTGAAGAAGTTCAGAGTCACAGAGTTCACCTCCTTTCAAAGCTCGACCAACTCCTTCTTGTGTAGAAGAGATACGCACGCGTACTTCGAAAACAAACCGGGTGAGAACCTGGCAAAGCAAAGGCTCCTTAGCTCACAAATAAAATATCAGAATGAACAGACAAGTCTCAGTATCACAAGAGCTCGACTCTGAAGACAGAGCAAACATCGTCCATGGCATGAGACAGTCGATTCAGAACTGCCTGCTGTACTCCTGGAGACTCCCAAGTCCAAGAAGAGAAAGGAAGAGATGGCAGAGTTCACCTATTTCACAGCACGTGAGGGACGACGCTTCAGCAGTACTCAACCACCGATATTTAAAGTTCATGATCTCACTTGCATGAAACAATGATATATTCACACGCATGTTATCATGCGATTCCACACTGGAAGTCTTCACTTAACAGGAGCAAGTGCAGGCACTTTATCCATGACCTACTTTAACATTAAAAGTAACTAAAAATAAAATCTTATTTGCTGCCTAGCACCATAACAAGGTAAAAGAAAAGCTTTGAAAGAATCATGGTTTATCACCCCACCCTTGCCGTAAATTACTGCAGTACTACTCGCATCGTAACGATAAAATGGAAGGCCGATAACTAAAAGCAGAAGCACAACCACTCCGTAAGAAGCCAGCTGGGATGAGAGAATGCAGACACTGCTTTTGCCTCCAACACCAGTTATTTGAGAATAAGGAAGGTACTCCGTGGGGGTTTTTTGGTGAAGGAATTTAATTTTTAGCTGTTTAAATAATGCAGTTTTAGAATCATTAAACTAATTTACCCTCATCCTTTCAAACTATTTTTCATTGCCAAGAACATGACTTCATTAATGTCATCTTCAAAAAGGTAGGACAAAACACTGAGACAGTATCTGATATGCCCTCCATTTAAAATATTCATTAAGACCAATTATATACACTGATAATTCATGCAACATGCTCTTCCTCCTAATCCATAAAAACAAGGGGTTTTTATTCTACCCTGCTAAGCTTCATAAATGAATATACATCATATTAATACAGTTTTCAAAACTAACTAAAAAAAATATCAAAATTAATCAACAATAGGTAGGCTCAGGAAGAAGGCAGAGCGGGAAAGGAGGCAAATGTATTCAGGTTGAAGGTTACAACCAACCTGGGATCTACAAAACAAAGACAGCAGTAATTATTCGAAATTAACATCCTGTAAAATAATACTCTATAAAGAATAAGAATGTTAACAGCAATGTTGAAACATTTCTTATTAAATACATTGTAAGCACTTCACACAGCTTGCCAAACTGTTCTATACGGTTTAGTTCTCGGTCTACTGTGAAAAAAGACACAGAAGTGCGTTTTCAACATGGTATAAATAACTTGCAACGAACATTAAACTCCCTGTGGACTGCTGACTCCTGGAGGAACCACCACCTCCACCCAACGAAAGCAACTGTGGACTGCAGCGGAAGCAGAAAGTCACTATATATTCTCACACTTCACGTGCAGCTTTAAGATGACTTGGTGATACTCATTCACTTACACTGGCTCTTCATCAGTGCTGGTATAAAAGCAACCTCGTTAGGATTGTTTCCATGGATGTAACTACTGTGACTTGAAATCTCACTGCAAATGTGAGAACTTCGTAAAGAAAATATTCTCAACGCTAAAGCCTCCATATCTTGTCAATATTAAGCCAGAAACAGTAGCAATTAATACCAAAAAAAACCCCTCTGGCCACAGTTTTCATCTTTATCTCCATAGAAAAGTCATCTTTAATGGCAAAACACGACCAGAAAGTCAGCAGCAGGAACGAACGGAGAACTCGTCATTAACAGGGAAAGCAGGCTCACCCTTTCCTCCAGCCGAGCCAGCTGCTCCTTGTAGTAGGCATCATGCTTCTTCAGCTCTCGGTCCTTCTCTTCCAGCTGCTTGGCCTAAAAAAAGAAAGAGAAAGATAAAACCGGACCCAGAGCGAGCAAAGCAAAACGTCTACCAGAAATTGTTGCAGTAAGGAATACACAGCGATTGAGAACTGCAGCCTATTAGGATCTGCCAAACAGCACGTTAATAAGATGATGATTGCTGCATTGAAAATGTAACGAGATTGCCTATTGTACTGGGTTTTTTCCTCCCCTCCTCGACAGCTGTGCCACAGTTTCTCCAAATGTATTTGGAGATGTCACGAAGATGGGGCCCAGCGTATCCTGCTGAGTGTAATTTTTTTTTTTTTTTTTAATTAACTTTGCAGATCACTTCTGAACTTTGGGAAAAAAAAATACACGCAGAGCCTGAAAATTTAACTTTATTCGTTAAGTGTTACTGAGTGGACATTTTGACACAAGAATAGCTGAACTCGCATTGCGTATTTGTAGGCGGTGGTAAAAAGGATTTTTCTGAAGTAGCTGATTTTTCTCTAAAACCCCAATTCAGCAATGTATTTAGCATGTGCCTAATTCTAAACACATGAATGTTTGGAAAGAATCAAATGCTTACATATTTACCAAAGCAAATCTAAAAAGTACATCTAAAACTCTTGTCCTCTTTAATTAGTAATTATTCCCCTGGAAACTCCTACATCAGCTGAAGTATCCAACTAAGTAAGCTGAAACCCTTTATTGTACGATCACTCCCATGTCCAGCAACCTAAAATAATACAGAATAATTCTGAACATCTATCTTTTGAATACTAGTATGGCTAGAGTATTCATTTACAAGGCATTGCTTCCAGCACTATTGAGCAAGTTGACTTTTTTTGGCTTTTCATCTGTAGTATGTACCAACAGGCAGGATTAAGGGGACTTATTAAGAATTATAAAATACATTAAGAGAGCACACACGCACACAGAATATGTGCAAAGCTCCAAGTCCTCCAGAGGAAACAGTAGACAAGTAATTTTTAACAAGCTGTGGAGGATTTAACTCCTAAATCATCAGCGCAAATTCATTCCAGGCTCATAATGTTTTAATAATAAAATATCTTTAGCGAATGATAATCAACTACCAGCGGTCATTACCACAACTGCCTCTTCAACATCAGTCATTTACCTCTAACCTGTTATTTTTCACCCCGGGACTGATACTGCAAAGCCACCTGCTTAAAGTTCCTCTTTTGCCAGCATCACTGTGAAAGGAGAAATTGTTGTGCTCTTACTGCTAAAGGTGGTGTCTCCAGGTCCTGCTCATAGAAGCACGCCAGAAAACCTGCACCACACACCTGTACAGAAACAGGACTGCATTCTCTTTGTCAAGATTGGTTCTTTTTTTTTTTTTTTTTCAAATAGACAACAAATAAGATAAAAACTTTGGATTTTTGGTTGTTCCTTACTTCACTACTTACCTTTTTTTCTATATCCTGAAGCATGTAAAAAAATCAAAATGTCAGATTAAATTTATTACATAATGACAAATAGAAAGAATGTACAAAAATGCACACGTCAGGCATGTCTGTCATCCAGAACAATGCAGAAAACTACTTAGAAATTGGGGGGTTTATTCACGCAACTTCACCAAAAAATACCCCTACTCATCCAAAAAGCACACAGCCATATGTTAATTCCACTTGGACGAACCAAACCTTGCCCTCTGCCAAACACCCCATCTTCAGTATAGTGCCATGGAGCACATGCTCCAGCCCTGTCCACCACCGCCTACATCAGCCTTTAGTCAATAACTACAGATTTTTCCAAAGCTGATTACACTAAATATTCTCCAGGCTATCCACCAGGCTTTGTACTGATCGTGGTTTTGCTTTTTCTAGGTAATTCCTGTATGAGCTCCCAGACCTGGTGGTTACAGAAACAGCTGAAAACTCACTGCAGGTCGTGCCTCCCCAAAACCATCCTCTCCCAAAGACCTAACAGAATACTTCAGTGCATTATCATAGCTACCCATACATTAATATTTTATGTCTAACCACCTCACGATCCCTGAAATATCTGCAAACTCAAGACCATTCCTTTTCTGCAAGTGGAGTTAAATAGGCCAGTGACAAAGAAAATGTAAAATTAATGTTCCATAATGCTCATGAGAACGCATTTAGTTCGAATATCAAAGAACAAATTTTTTAGTTCTTGGAATTCAACAGTGTTTCACAAGATTCGATAGATGACCTGAAATCAAGCAGCAAATCTGACTTTAGAAAGCCAGTAAGATATAATAAAACCAATGCAAGAGCATCATGAGTTAATTCATGATGCCCCATTTCTGACGGTTCACAAGGGCAGAAATTGTCTGGGTGTAAAACCAGAAGAGGTCAAGGGCACACTAATGATGGAGGAGACGAAATCCATCCTCTCCTCCAGGGCCAGCTAATCACGTAGCATCTGTCCTCTCCATCTCACAGAAATAAACATAAGCAGGAGATCAGCTGCTCCTTCCTCTCAGAGAAAAGTGAGCAGTGAAAGAATGAGGCAACCTTCACAACCGCTGCAAACCATTTTATGAAGATGACAAATTCCCTGAGGTTCAACCCAAAAGTCCCTTGCCAAACTTCTCACACAACAATGCTAAAAACATCGATGACATTTAACACCACGTGTAGCTGAAGACTGCACCATGCTACAGCTGCACTTCTAATTCATGTAAATCACAGAATCATTATGGTTGGAAAAGACCTCTAAGATCATCAAGTTCAACTGTCAACCCAACACCACCATGGTTCCACCCACATAACTATAGTTTAATATTCAAATACTGGTGTTGCTACTATTGCTTTTCATTTCAAAAATTGACTAGGACACATTCACATCTAGCCTATAGAAAATTAAAAGAAAAAGAATTGTGGACATCTGGATTCTTTTTTCATTCAAACTCCTCACAGGTGAGTTAGAGCTGGCATGGATGTTAGCTCTGAAAGTGTTTGGAAACTTTCAAGCAATTTCAACTGGATCAAGATAAGCTCTCATTGACTGATGTCTAGGAAAATAATAGTATTCCTAGAAAAGTGCCCAAAAGACCCCTTAAAAGGACATCACAAGTTGCCCAAAACATTTCATAAAATAGAAATATAGAGCATGGAAGACATGAAAGCTGAACGAAAAGTACTAACAGTTCCCAAATCACAGCGTACTTCTCAGAACATCTCTATAACAGAGGACCCCAACTAGAAAATACCATTATTAAAAAATGACAACTTCAAAACTTCTAGAATGTTGATTTTGACTAAATTGCCATGAGATACTCTTGGTAGCAAAGTATGCTTCAGCTCTAGTACTACAGATAAACTATATCTGTTTAAGCTGGATCGTTTAAGACAGTGCATCTTCAAGTCAGACGCCTGGTATTATCCACTTCTATGGGTCAGCATAATTACAGCAAGAAATGCTAACATCTTGGATTCAATAGAATTTGTGTCATGAAACATCCACATTTATACAAAAAATTGAGCACAGGCAGGTAAAAAAATACAATTCTATTAGAAAATACTGCTTCTGAGATCCACATCTGCTAATCTGCAATTGTAGCTCACACACATACAATTAATCCTGAGACAGTCTGGCGTTGACAAAACTATCCAGCAGACCTGCACACGGCTCCGAGCTTAAATTCTTTTCATCTGTGTCACGCTTGCTGACCAAATACTATCCAAAAAGAGAAATGGATTTATTTAACGGTATCAGATCACTAAATTTATACATATGAAACATAATACGAGAGGGGAATGCAAATAACATTTGTCCCAAGCATATCCATCTGAATGCATTTTTTTGCCCCAGAAAGTTTGTTTTCCTCTGGAAAGCTTCTTAGCTTTTTTGGGTTGGTTTTTTGGGTTTAGTTCCCTGCTCCCCGAGACAATTAGTGATCAAAACAGATGGATTTTACTGCACTAAAGATATCAGGGCCAAATAGCATATAGTCATGCTGCTTATTGCCCTGATCCTCTCAAAGCTTTTATATCACTGATACAGTAGAAAAGTTAGATTATAAGAATACTAAATAATACCTTTATCCAAAGGTTTGCTCCCCTATATTGTGAAAGTAACTGAAAGATTTGGTAGGCCAGTAACAAACTCGGGGAAAAAAGTTTCTTCCAGATAGCTACCACCTCTGGCATTTCTACAGTAACGCAGACATAGCAAAGTTTAAAAAAAAATCCAAAAAACTACTTATTCATACAGCAAACAATATAAATATGCCAGGAGAATTCACTGCAGAAATAAAAACCTGTAAGGTAATATTATATTTATGGGGCCGCAGCAACGTGATCCCAGTGAATATCAATTAGCTGTAACAAAATAATTAACAGTAGCCATGTATTCAATTAGCTGAATGCTGCACTTCAGTTGTAAATGAGATATTGGAACAGGTTCATTGCTTCTTCACCAAGTAACTCTAATAAACAAAGCATTTGCTTGGGTGTTCTTTAGAAAGCACAGCTTCAGAAGGTCACCTTTGAGAGGCAGCCCATCTTCCCAAGGCTACCCAAAATGAAAATCCAAAAATTGATCACTAATAGTAAACACAGGTTCTTCGGAATCGCTAGGAAGCTGGACCACGATTTAAAGGCCAACCTGGGTTTCATTTTCTACAGTAGCGCCTGGATTTAGCACAGCACTGGTAGGAGTTTCCATCACTGGAGAGATGGATGTCTACAAAAAATTCCCCGAGCGTCAACTCATACATGGCTGCAGGGACACTCGCAGAGCAGGCCTGTGACAAAGCCGAACCCTTCTCATGCTGGATACAACAGCTAGACGTTAATTTTGTGCTTTGTAAGGTAGAACCGAGCAAAGTCGCAGCCAACTGAAAGCGCATATTTAATAGTTATCTTTAAAAAATAAATAGAGGAACCAGTTAGCTGGATACAGCAAGGTTCGAGGTGCGGGCAGTCTATAATTGCTACTCTTTAAGGAGTTGCCCAGGATAAACCATTATCGGGTAGTTTAGAAGAAGTTTGTCGGCAGATTTCAACATTAGCTCTTGAAGCACTCAGCAG